AAAATAAAATAAATAAAATTTAAAAAATAAATAAATAAATAAATAAAATTAACCTCTTGTTATCTGTCAAGGTCAGTCAAGGCTCCTCTGGCATTATTTTTTGTTTGGTTGGTTGGTTGGTTGGGTTTTTTTGGAGACAGGGTCTCCCTATGTAGTTCAGGCTGGCCTTGAACTCACTATGTAGCCCAGCCAGACCTCAAAAACTCACAGTGATTCTCCAGCCTTGAGCTCCTGAGTGCTAGGATTACAGGTGTGCACCACTACGTCTGGCTCCTCAGACATTACTTTTGGAACTATGTGCAGAGCCTCCTAGCTCCTCTGTCCATGTCAGCCACCAGGATGGGTCAAGGTGTTGCTTGACCATGTGGCTTTCTGTGGAAGTGTGGCTTGTGATCCTCCTTTTAGCACACTATACATTAGTTGACTCTTGTCCTCTGGGATCCAACAGTCTCCCCGTCAGGAGGTTGGGATCTAAACAACCTCCTTCACCCTGTATTTGCAAGTTGTTTCTGCCATGGGCCCCAATGTATTTCTGATGCCAATGTTTAGAGCGCTGGGCCTGGCCAAGGCCTGCTGTGTCTGCTGTGTGTGTCCAACTGTTGGGAGCAATGCTACATAATTCTAGGGAAAAACCATTTGAGTAAGCCTAGTTCTCCTGCCTACAGGCCAGCTACGACATTCCAGACATAATTGCATTTTGGTCTCAGGTCACAATTGAGACCTCAGTGATCCCCAGATGCTGTAATGCTCCAGGACAAGACCACACCTGCTGGAGACGCCAGGGAGGAACCAAATCTTCATCTGCATAGTTCCTCATTGTTCTTAGATTTCCACTGCCCCCCAGTCTTTCTACACCTTGTTTATTCCAATGTAAAGTACTGAACTCTGCATTTTCACTTGTTACATCTGTTTCCCCATGTACTGAATAAAAAGTGCTGCAAGCTAGGGGGCTTTTGTCTTTGCTGCCCAGAGCAGCACTGATCGGACCCAAAGCTCAGCATCTTCTCATTTGTCTGCCTTTCCTGTAATTCGCCGTGTGCTGCCGTGGCTTGCAGGAGACTAGGACTTACTGCAGAGGTTCTAGTAACGTCCCCTTCCCCTGTTCCCTACATCCAACCACCAGAGCCCATCTTATCACCAGCCTGCACTGGTGTAACCTAGTAGATGCCGGCTCCTCTAGTTTTCAGATTGACTGATCTTCATGTGGCACCTGGTAAAAACATTTCACCCTCTTTAACCTGACCCTAAACTCACTTTCCAAGACTTCTTTCTTGTGAATCTTCTCTCACTAAGGAATTAAGAACATGGACTCTGGAGCCCCTGACTGTGCCCTTGGAAAAGATGCTTAACTTTTCTGTGCCGCCTTTTGCCATCTGCAGAGGGAAGGTGACCATGGTCCCTTCCTTCCTAGGATCATTATGGGCAGAAGACTTGTGTACTTGGAGCATTCAGAGTAGTCCCTGGTGGCTATGTAGGTGTTGTTCATTACCTGCACCTGGATATTTACTGCCTTTACCCTCGGGCCTACCTACTGCCCTACCTGTATACAAACATTTTCCCAGGCCGGGCATCCCTTCTTCTGTGAAGCCCTCCTTGCCTTCCTTCCTGCTTTGGTCCCTGCACCTCTGACCTTACTTTCCCATAGGCTGTGCCCTCACAGCCCCTTCCTGCCACGTGAGCTGCATAAATTCTTCGAGGAGGCAGGCTGCCAGCTGCTGGCTTGTGTCCTCCCTGCTCTGAGTGGGTGGAGGAAGGGTGGAAGGAGGGTGCCATGCCCTGGCTGTGTCATCCTGGGCCATAGCTCTCCTTGTGCATCTCCACGCATATGGGATGATAAACAGCACCCCCTTGTTGTGGGTTGTCACAAGGCTTAAATGGATGATGCCCAAGGGGTATGGTATTGAAATGGCAGCACTAAAGAGAGGCCAGTTGGTTTGGGGACTGAATGTGCAGCCTCTCCTACCATCCCCAGGCCATGTCCTGACTCAGGATCCCTCCTTCCCAGGGTCTGCTCTGCCCAGAGCCCACCAGCCAGCTTCCCTGCTGTTGCCTTCTATAGAGGATACGGCTCCTTCCATAAAGACTGACCTCCCTTCGATGCTGGACTCCAAGGTGAACCCACCTTCTTCTGCCTTCGCCACACCCCCAGCTTTGGCCACCCTTGCAAGAGTGCATTCTTCATTCCCAGAGCCCAGCCTGGGAGTGGAGAGGAGAAAGGAAACCCATCAGATTACTCCAGAGTTCTTAGAGCATAACAACAGAATGTGGGCCAGGGGATGAGTGCACTTCTTTGTGGGTGTTTGTCTCTTCATTTGGTGGGGATGGAAACCAGGGCCGAGCTATTCCAAGGCAAGTGCTCTGTGGCTACAAATACATATGTTTAGTGAACTTCTCCATCATGTATGTTTAGATGAGAAGTCCTGGTGATTGGCATCCTCTGCCTTTCAGATATGTTGGACACAGCAGGCATTTGGTGAAAATCCTGCCCTCTCCTGGCCTTTTTTCAACTCATTTGTCTTGGATTGAATAACTCAGCCTCAGTGATCTTGAAGTTTGAGTGACTTGGGTTCCAGGATGCACTAGGACTTTTGTGGGTCTTCAGCACTTTTGCCTTCATGGGCCCTTCCTTTTTTTAAAAAAAGAAATTAACCAAAATTATCTTTCATAAGCCTGGCATAGAGGCACACGCCTGTAATCCCAGCACTCAGGAGGCTGAGGCAGGAGAATCGCCCTGAGTTTGAGGCCAGCCTGGCCTACATAGTGAGACCCTGTCTCAAAAAAAAAAATTACTTTCATGACTACATTAGTTTTGTTTTTTGGGGGGGCACCAGGGATCGAACTCTGATCCTTGCACTTGCAGGGCAGGCAACGGAACCACTGAGCTAAATCCCCGGCCCCTACATTGGTATTAAGGTGAATATAATCCACATTGATTTAAAAAGTAAAACATTGGGCCAGGGGGTATAGCTCAGTGTGGAGCACTTGCCTAGCATGCATGAAGCCCTCCCTCCTAGGGGCAGGGTGTGAGGAGAGAGAAAGCAGCAAAAAGAGAAAAGGAAAAAAAAAAGGAAGGGAAGGAAAGTACTAAAAGAATTAAATAGTTTTTGTGGCTCTTAAAAGTATTATGGGCCAGGGATTTAGCACAGTGGCTCCATGCCTGCCTCACAAACTCAAGGTCCTGAGTTCAATCCCCGGTACCCCCCCCCCAAGAAAAGTATTATGGGCTCAACATCTGGGGATGAAAGCAGCTCATAGGTCTGGTTACTAGGCTTCTCCATGAAGGAGACTCTTGTCAAGTAGGGTTTTTTGTTTTGGGTTTGTCATGATTTTCAGAGATGATTTGTTGAAAACAGAAACCCCAACTATGTATGTGTATAGCATATTCTCATTTTAGATAGATAAATCCTAATATATCTAATAGGTGGGAAATATACTAAACTTTAATAGCACTTAAGAGGATAATGGGGTTGGGGAGAAAAATTCATTCCTAATTTTCTAAAACTGTTAAGAAGAGCATATAACTTTAAAAAATTTACATTTTTGTGTACCTGCCTTTAGAAAGGGAGGTTATTGAAGCAGAGCTTCTTTTTATAGACTGCTGTATGCCCAAGTCTCCAAAATTCTGATCTAAGAATTGCACTTGATTGTATGAACCCTACTTGGTGACCCAGCATATATAGCCATAGGACTGGGACACTGAGCTTGGCCACTGGTCAGCTGTGTGACCCTTCTTCAGGTCTTTGACCCCCAGAATACTCACATTTTAATACATCTTCAAAATTTCTGGCCCAGGCATGGTGGCACATTCTTGTGATCCCAGCACTCAGGAGGCTGAGACAGGAGGATCATTGCGAGTTCCAGGCTACCCTGGGCTACATAGCAAGTTAAGGATAGCCTGAACTGGCTAGTGAGACCCTGTCTCAAAACAAAAACAAAAACAAAATTACCCTGAAAGCTCCTATTGTTATCTTCATTTTTGCTGATGGGGAAATTGCAGTTTAGAGAGGTTGAATAACTCAAGGTCACAGATCAGGTTTGAGGTGGGGCTGGTATTTAAACGTGGGCCTGTCCGCACCCTTTTTACCATTCAAACCCCTCCATCCTTTCACCTCTAAGATCCCCTGAGGTAGCAGGAAAAAAAAGCATCCAAGATCCCAGGATGTAGCTCAGCAGGGCCCAGCAAGAGCAAGGTCCTGGGTTTGGTACCTGGTACTGAAAAAAAACAAAAAAACAAGCTTCTATAGTGATCTCTGTGTCTTCTTTCTGGATTCTCAGGATTTCAGCACTTCCATTTCTAAGCAAGAAAGACTTCTGAGCTGTTCTGGAAACAGCCTTCTCTGGAGTGAGGCCGACGTGGTCCAGGCAACCAGTGACTTTGGCCCAAGCCACAGGATCATTAGGGGCACCTTTGCTGATGTGTACCGAGGGCAGAGACATGGGGTACTCTTGGTGATTAAGAAGCTCCAAGAGGTGGGCATGGCAGCTTCTCCTGGGGTGGAGGCTGCATGCATTCATGGGGCCAGGTCTTTAGCTCCACTGACTTTCTCCACAGGGAGCCTGTTCCAGTCCAGAGTCCCTGGAAAGGTACCTCCAGGCAGAAGTGCGGGTTTGTCTCCGGTGAGTTCCGCTTGGGAAACACTGTTTAGTGGTGTTGATGGGTAACCTTTACAGAGTGTTTCCTGTGTGCCAGGCACATTTTAGTTGTTCCACTGTAGATTGTCTTAATCTGTTTTTTGTGCTATAACTGAACATCACAAAGAGGGTAAATTTATTAAGAACACAGGTTTATTTATCACACAGTTCTGGAGGTTGGAAGATAAGAACTTGGGGGCTTCATCTGGTGAGGGCCTTGTGCTGCATCAGAGCATGACAAAGGGCATCACAGGGAATCAGCAAGTGGCCAGCTCAGGTCTCCCTTCCTCTTCCTGTAAAGCCACCAGTGCCACCGCCAAGGCCCACCTTGGTAAACTCATCAATCCCAGTTTCCTCTCCAAAGGCCCTGCCTCTAATACCATGAATGTGGATTAGGGGATTAAATTTCCAGCACATAAATTTTGGAGGATGAATTCAAATCATAACACATATAAATTCATTCAGTCCTGATGAGAACTGTATAATATGGCTACCGTTAACACATTGTTTTACAGATGGCTAAATTGAGGCACTGAGAAGTTAAGGGTCTGGTCCAAGATCACACAGCTAGGAAGTGACACCAGCAGGACTTGAACCCGCATGGTCTGTCTCCGGAGCCCATGCATTCGGCAGAGGTTAGACTAGAGAGGAATGAGGGAAAGAATCTGATTCTGGGCCATGGTTTGAAATAGGCAAAGCCTTACTGACTGCAGCTGGAATGGTGGAGCCATCTTAACCTGGAATGCACTAGAGCAGGTGTTGGCAAATGGGCATTCATGGGCTACTTCTGGCCCTGCTTCTGTTTGCATAGCCAGAGAGGTAAGATGGTTTTTACGTTTTCAAATGGGTGAAAAAAATAGTAATCTACAGCACATGAAAGTTATATAAAATTCAGATGTCAGTGTCTGTGACAAAGTTTTATTGGAACACAGCTCTTTGGTTTCCACATTGTCTATGGCTGCCGTGTACAGTTGAGTACCTGCAGTGGAATCATGTGACACACTGAGTACAAAATGTTTACTAACTAGTCCTGTACAGAAGATGTTTGGTGAGAGGCTGGGGATGTAACTCAGTGATGAGTGCTTGTGAAGCCCTGGCTTCCACCCCCAGCCTGAAAAGAATAATGGATAGGAAAATAGGAGGCATCTCTTTTTCAGAGCCCTGCTGTATTAACATTTTGAAAGATTTTTGTGTGCATGTGGGGTTTTTTTTTGGTACTGGGGATTGAACTCGGGACCTTGCGCTTGCAAGGCAGGCGCTGGAACCACTGAGCTAAATCCCCAGCCCTGAAAGATTTTGTTCAGTGCCTTCTCTGTGTATTCATGATGGGAATGCACACTGACATGTACATGTATATATACTTCATCCAAACTAGAAGTAAAACTTCCTCCACCTTATCACTCTCTTATTCATCAGATCAGGAAACCTGAGCACCGCTGCCCCCGCCAGGATCCAGGGAGTGCAGACTTGAAGCAGATACAGTCTCTGCCTTGGAGGAGTTTGTGTCTGACAGGGACTGACTTGTTAATAAGTGCAGAGGGTGTGATGAGTGAGGTGGAATGGCTCCAGGAGACAGGATGGGTGTGACCCAAGGTGGGGAGAAGGGAATGGAGGGGGCAATTTGAAAACTGTTTGTGACCCTGAGTGGTGACTAATGAGATGTGAGAGCTGAGGTTCCCCAAAGCTGGATAGGTGTCTGCCCTTGAACTGAGGTGATGAACAGGAGAACCTGTGAATCAGGGATGTTGTTCACCTCAGCATCGATGCAGTCAGACATGGTGATGTGCAGCTTTGGCTGGGCTAGAGTTAAGGGGTTTGGTTTAGGGGTGTTCTTGAGGCAGTGGGAGAAACCTGCAAGACACCCTCATTTCAGGAGGCAACAGAAGGGTGTCTTGGAAACAGCCAAGCATGAATGGTCAGAGAGGTCAGAGGGGAGTAGGAGGGAGTGGAGACTCAGCCAGAGGAAGAAAGTTGTGAGAAGAGCCCCGCTGGCAAGTCAGACCAACCTGGTGCAGGTTAAGGCTTCCCTGCTTGCTTAGCTCAGGGTAGGAGGTGAGGCTTATCTTTGGGTCTCCTTGATGACTGATCCTTACCTTGCATTGCTGGCTGCTTTCAGATGCTGTCACCCCAACGTGTTGCCTTTGCTGGGCTTCTGCACTGGAGGACAGTTTCACAGCCTGATCTACCCCTACATGGCAAATGGTTCTCTGCAGGACCGACTGCAGGGCCAGGTAAGGGTCATCATAGTCAGGGACAGGAGAGGGCACTGTCCAGTAGGGAATTTTGACTAAGGGCTGACAGAGGAGCGGCCATCCAGGTGACATGAGAGGGCTTCAAGAGAGAAGTCAGGCCAGGAAAAGCCTGGCAGAATTACTTGCCAAGAGGGATGTCATTCAAGTCAGGCACAAGACAGGTGTGCCACAGCATTAATTCTGCTCCTCACTGCTCTAGACATGTTAGCCAGTGCACTGGGATCACAAAAAAGGTCAGCGGTAGGAATATGGAAAAGGAAGCAGATTTTTATGGTACATGTTAATCCAGAGTATGCTCCTTGCTTATGTGTTCATGAGGTGTCTCTGGAGACAAACACAGGCATGTTTGCTGCTTTAGGGGAAGAGAACTGGGTAGCTAGGGCACAGGATGGAGGAAAACTTTTACTCTATGCCCTTTGGTATCTTTAGAATATTATAGCACATGAATGTAATTGTGTGTGTGTGTGTGTGTGTGTGTGTGTGTGTGTGTGGTCCTGGGGATGGAACCCAGGGCCTTGTGCCTACTAGGTAAATGCTCTACCACTGATATACACTGCTGACCCTTTTTAATCTTATTTTGAGACAGGATCATGCTAAGTTTGCCAGACTGGATTTGAACTCTTGATCCTCCTGTTTCAGGCTCCTAAGTAGGTGGATTACAGGCATGTACCACCATGCCTGGTTAAAAATTGGAATTTTAAGCCAGGCATGGTGGCACACACCTATGATCCCAGCACTCTGGAGGGTGAGACAGGATCACCACGAGTTGAAGGTCAGCCTGCGCTACATAGTAAGTTCAAGGCCAGCCTGGACTACATAGTAAGACCCTGTCTCAAAAACAAATAAATAAACTATAATTTTAAAGCCAGATCTCCTATTTATAACCTCCTCAGGCAGAAGAAAGAGAGTTACTCCACCACACAATTGTCACTTCCCTTGGCAGAGACCAGCATCACTTGTACTCACCGTGTACCGGTGACCACTGGCTTTGCTGAGTCCTCCTGCGTGAGATGCCTCAATCAGGGCCTTAGCCTGGTCATCTCCTCCAGGCCTAGATGAAATCAATGAAGTGCCTTCCCATATTCCAGACGTGGAGTCTCTGGCACAGAGAGGCCAAGCAACTTGCCCCTGAACCATAGCCACAGCACCAGAGCAGGGCTTCCTTTCCTTAGGCTCTGGTGGCCCCAGGTCTCAGCAGGACTGTCACAGAGCCCAGGCCAGCTCTTAGAGGGCATGGATGCTCAGGCCACAGGTGAGAGCAGGCAGTGATGTAGCCTGGAGATTCAGTGTTAGCATAACAGCAGCAGCCCAGTGCAGGCATGCAGCCTCAGCCTTCCCTGTCATTCCCTCCACCCTGTGACATTGCCTTCAGGACACACGAAATCCATGTGCACTGTGCAGACACAACCCCCAGTGTCTCTCAACCAGCCCCTCCTGGAGGGGAAACAGTCCTGGTAAAAGCTGCTGGATTTTGAGCACTTATGTGGCAGGCACTGTTTAAGGGCTCTCTACAGTCCTTTAAATCATTATGGTGTCATGGTCTTTGCTTTTCTTGGAAATGGGGATCAGAACCTAACCATGGTATTGCAAATTCTGGTGCTTTGCCACTGAACTATGCCCTCACCCAGCATTTCCATTTTCTACTCAAGGAGATAGACTCAGAGGTATTGGGGGTGTTTTCTAAAGTCATGCGGCCTAGTGTGACTAGACTAAGCCTGTAGTATGTCTGTCTGCTATGAAATGCACGAAACCACATCAGCAAGCCATGCTGCTGAGGACAAATGGGAGGACAGGAAGACCTGGGAGTGAGGACTGGGCTTTCGGTGCCAGTGTGACTCTCACTCCTCCTCTCTTCTCTCCTAGGGTGGCTCAGACCCCTTGCCCTGGCCCCAGCTTGTCAGCATCTGCTCAGGTCTGCTTCATGCTGTTGAGCACCTACACATCCTGGACATCATCCATGGCAACATCAAGAGGTGGGAGGGTGGTAGTCTCCAGGGACTGGCTGAGGCTGGGCCCTTCTTACTCCAGGGCCCTCCCCCCATCTCCCTTCCCTTGTGTCCCCCTTGCTGCCTGCATCTGTGTTTGTTTCTGGGCTGTGCCCTAGGTCTGATTGCCCTCAGCACATAGTGCCCACCTGTCACCACATTGGGCTCCCTGTGCTGCTGTTCTGCAACAGACCCTCCACACCCCACCGCTTTTCACTGTCTACTTGCTCAGCAGCCAACTTGGACCCCGTCCTCAAGCGCTCGGCCGTGTCTGGGACTTCGAGCTCCTTGTTTCAGCCCTTCTCAGAGACCCTTGCTTTTGTATCTGTTGGTCACATCACCTTTGTCAGGGAGGCTTCCTGTCCCCCAGCATCTAGCACCATCTGTCGAAGAGTAAGAGATCCCTACCTGGGAACTGGAGCATGGGGAGAGATTCCAGAAGATTCCAGGAAATTCTTCCAGAAATATCCCCAGAACCATAGGACTCACAGTTCCCTGAAGTCCTCTCTTGGTTTGGCACATGCAAGCATGGAAGCCTTTTCCTTTTTTCTCTCCCCCAATTTCTGTTTTATCACTCCTGCAGTTGTACTAGCAAGAAAGGAAGTGAAAGAGCGAGTTGTTTTGGTGACCTACCACTGTGACTCATTTACTGACCTCTGGTTTTTGTTTCATTTTTTGTGGTTCTGTGGATTGAACCCTAGGCCTTGTGCGTGCTAAGCAAGTGCTCTGCCGCTGAGCCACATCCCCATTCCTATTCTCATTTCTTGTTTCACTCCCTTCCCATACAAATCCATAGCCCTAAGGTGGCATGGTTACCTGGTTACCAATTCGTCTTCTATTTTCCTTGTTTAAACATGGTAAGTGTTTCTCTATATGTCTTATTATCACACTTTTTCATGACTTTTTAGTCTTCCCTTGATGGGATTTGCCCATAACTTACTTACTTAGCCATTCTTAAGAGTGGATATTGGAATTGGTGTCTACTACTTAAAATACTGTTTGGGCTGGGTGGGGCGGTACATGCACGCCTGTAAACCCAGCACTTAGGAGGCTGAGGAAGGATGATCACCACCAGTTCAAAGCCAGTCTGAACTACATAGTGAGACCCTGTCAAAAAAAAAAAAATACTGTTTGGGGTTAGTTCTACACATGTAACTTCTTTTACCCCTTTTCTTGGAATGTTTCTCTAAGTTAACTCCCAGTGACTGGGTCAAAGGGTATTTTTTTGCTCTTTAAAAATTTTTAAATTGTTCTTCTTATTCCGCATGAAGGGATGCTGATATGTAGACTTCTCCCAGCCAGCTAGAGCCAGAGGTCAACAGCTTGGAAGGAAACAACCTGGCATAGGCAAAGGGTTTGGCAGGCTGAGCTGATGAGGGTGATCATCTGCAGGGATCAGGTAGCTGCACCTCTTGGGCAGCGCATCATATTTGCTGGAGGCCTGGACTCCAGTGCCCTGCCTCACTGTGGCAGGGCTGGCTCTGACCCTCTGTGTTGAGGGTCTTCAGTAGCCCCCTTGCAGGGGCTCTGACATGCTTAGTGCTATTTTCCAGGAGAGTCTCCATGGCAACCTCTTTAACTCAGAATGAGGGTTCTCTCTCCTTTTCGTAGCTCCAACGTTTTGTTGGATGAAGAATTCACCCCTAAGCTGGCTCATCCGGTGGCTCAGTTGTATCCTGTCCACAAAAGGTCAGAATATACAGTGATGAAGACCCACCTTTTCCAGGCCTCAGCAGCATATATGCCTGAAGATTTCATCAGGGTTGGGCAGCTGACCAAGCGTGTGGACGTCTTCAGCTGTGGAATAGTAAGGGTTTCCTTCTCTGTTCAGACATGGGCCAACACTCCTTTACTGACTCATGGCTCCTCTGTAAGCACAGCATACTGTTGGAGCAGCCTCCAAGCCCAATCAGTTCCATCTAATTAATGTGTGTGGGGGGGGCTTGAGATGGAGCCCTGGGCCTTGTTCATGCTAAGCAAGGGCTCTGCACTGAGCCACACTTTCACCAATTTTGTTTTTCTTTTTTTGGCAGTACTGGGGATTGAATGAACTCAAGACCTTCATAATGAGCTACATCCCCAGCCCTTCTTATTTTTTATCATGGGACAGGGTTTCACTAAGTAGCTAAGATGCTCAGGCTGGATTCAAACCTGTAGTACTCCTGCCTCAGCAGAGTGCTATGATTATATACGTGTGCCACCACAACTGGCTTGTTTTTGGAAACATGGTCTGACTCTGTTGCCTGGGTTGGTCTCAAACTGGTGGGCACAGGTGGTCCTGCTGCCTCAGGTTCCCACATAGCTGGGACCTCAGTTGTGTACCACCATGCCTGGTTTCCGTGGAGTATTTTTATGGCCTCTGAGCTAAGAGTAGTTTTTATATTTATAAAAGATTATCGGAGGGGCCAGGGATTTAGCTCAGTGGTTCCACCACCTGCCTCACAAGTGCAAGGTCCTGAGTTTGATCCCTGGTACCATGTCCTATTTTCCTATTATTGGAAAATAGGACATGTGACAGAGACTGTATGTGGTCCACAAAGGCTACAATAATTACTGAGGCTTGTTATAAACAAGACGTCAACCCTTGAAGTACAGGTATTCATGACTGTCCAGACTTTAGTAGGCTATGGTAATATCTCCTCACTTCTCTAATTCCAGTCTAGTCATCCTTCCTGTTGTCTGTCTACTTGTCTTTGTTCATGGCCTTTTCTTATTGCTGGGACAAAATACCTGACAACCACAGCTTAAAAGAAGAGGAGTTTATCTTGGCTCACAGTTGCAGGGGACTTAGCCATGGTCAGCTGGCAGCTGTAGGAGAGCAGTGTGATATATGAAAGCTGTTCACTCATGTGAACGAAAAGGGGGCTGGGATGAGCTCTAAGCCATAAGAGTTGTCCAATCACCAGTCCAGACATTTTCCCAACATCTATTGACCCATTTCAGTATCTGTGTGCCATCCAGTTTCCTCCTGCAACACCTCCAGCCCTGTCTTTTATAACAATATGCCTGGCACCTGAAATATCAGTGTAATTAAAATCCTAGTCATCCCTAGGAGCTCATGATCTGAGTGGAGCAATCTCCAAAATATATCTCAATAGAACACCCCCCAGTTCCTTGAGATTGCTGCAGCATCTTGTGCTAAAAGGGTTTTGTGGCTGCTTTGGAAATACTAGGTTAAGCAGAGTTAAGTAAGTTTCTTTACAAGATTAGTTAGAGCCTCCCCCTACATTTCTCTTTCTTTTTCTTTCCTTTATAAGGGTTGGGCTTAAATTAGCAATTGTTCTGCCTCAGCCTCTTATTGTGCTGAATTACAAGCATTTACCACTTGTCTTGGATAAGTAGAGCTTATAACATGGCAATAAGCCTTTAATCTGATCATTGTGGATTCACCATGGAGGGCCATGTAGTTTCCCAGGTTCACTTGGCTGTGGACCCTTGTTTTCTCAAAGCATCTTTCTGCATCCTTGTTCCACAGGAAATGCTGGAAAATGTTGACCAACCAAACAAAAGTCTGTTTGGCCTCAGCCAAGTGCACAGAGCTGCACCCTGGGTTGTCTTCGCTAGTCTTGAACTCTGCACTTCCCCTCTTACCACAGCCTCCTGTCCGTTCACATCTTCCACTAGAGGCCTCATCTGGAACCAGCTTCTGCCCTCAGCTAGGCCTCTGTGTGCTGATTCCCCTGCTGCTGTGCCCCAACACACCCAGCTCCAGTGGTTTCCTCAGCTCCCTGGGGGACTCATTAAGTGAAGCACTGCAGGACTGGCCCAGGCTCTTGCTCTTTAAGAACCAGCTGCCTGACCCGACAGCTGCCAGGCATTGAGGCCCAGGTCCAGCTCAGTTACTTTCAGCTATGTCACCTACACTGCCTTACCTCTGTTTCTGGGCTTATTTGATCTTCCACAAAATGGGATAATGATATATGAAAAGGAATGGGATAATGTGTACAAGCTGGTTACTGCAGTACCCTGCACATGTCCAGACTATTATTTTTATTACTACTATTATTATTTTTTTAAGTTTTTGGCATGGGGATTGAACCCAGGGCCTTGTGCATGCTAAGCATGAGCTATACCCCTGAGCCAAAGCCCCTCACCTGCTACTGTTACTCTGACCTTCACGTCCCTGCTCTTGCTTTCTGTTCACTCTCAGCTTTCTGGCTTAGTCTTTGGTGTCACAGTTGACTTCCTCACTCACACGTCCCTTCATCCCCCCATCCATCCTCCCAGCAGTCCGGTTGGGGGCCCACTGGCTCCCTCTACCTCTTTGCTCAGCCTGGCTCCTGGCTGATAGTTATGAGGTTGAACTTTGGTTCACCTCTGGGGAACATACTGCATTCCCCAGTGTTTGTTTTGTGTTTTCTGCTTCTTTTCTTCCAATGCCAGGAATAGAATTCAGGGCCTTGGGCATGCTACGCAAATGTTTTGCACTGAGCTACTTACACCCCAGCCCTCTCAGTGTGTTTGGTGAGTACTTACTGAGCCCTTTGAAGGGGTCCCCATTAAAGGGCCACATGGAAGAGGCTTCTCTCCCTGAAAGGACTTGATCACTTTTCAACTGGTTCTAGTACCACTTGCTGCAGTGGTACCCTCTGCTGCCCCGTCCTGGTCACTGACAGTCTGTTATTAACGAGGTCATCTTGGCAGCAAATGTGACCCTACTTTGTTTCCAGAGGGTTTTGAGGAGAGAGATTCGACCCTAAGAGTGGGGTGTTCACTCCTCTTCACAACCTTTAGAACCCCACTTAACAGGTGAGGACACTGAGGTTCAGAGTTTAGTTATCTGTCCAGAGGTCACCCGAACAGTAAGGAACAGTCAGAATTTGAACCAGAGTTGTCTGGCTTCAACCACTGTTCTGTTGTCTCTGCTGAGAGTTGCTTGGTTCAGAGCAGGTTTACTGTTCGTGCAGACTTATCATGGTTGTCAGTTTCATGGGTCCAGGCTGTGCTCTCTCAGGAGTGGAGGAGTAATGAATAGAGTGTTAAGAAGGCTGTGGAAGAAACATGCTATAGGTGTGCTGAGACTTTGCGTACAGAGCAGACACCTGTTGGTGTGTGCTTTCTTCCCCTGAGATGGACAGAGCAGGCTTGCTGTTGCTGACAGATTCTTAAACAAAACAGTCCTAGTGTGCGTGCATATGTATGCATATGGCCTCCCCTCATGACTAGAGCCTCCTGCCACCCTTGTGCCTGAGCATCTGACCCATGCTGAGCCTATGTTCTGTTCTCTACAGGTGCTAGCAGAGGTCCTTACTGGCATGCCAGCAATGGACAATGGCCGGAGCCCCGTGTATCTGGTAAGGAGGTCAGGCTTCAGCCACTGGCTGGTGTGTTGGGGCCTCAGGGCTGAATGGGTAGGGAGAGTAGGGAGAGTGTGCCCACTTATGCATACCTCAGTTCAGGGTTTGATTTCCATTTGTGCAGAGTAGCTTTAAACCCAAGGCTCTACCAGCTTTTTCATGCTAATGAAATTTAGAATGCTTAGAAAAACAGAAGGAAAAAAAATGGAAACAAAGCTTTTGTACAAGGGAGGGGAAGGGGTTTGGGGGGGATGGGATAAAATAAAATAAAATTTACTTAAAAATAGAGTGGTTAGGAAAAACCCATTCCTTCTTTACCTACCGGGCAGTTACATAGGTTTGTCCTCAACTTGGTAAAAGTTTATTTCAGCCCTCTTAAACAGGTTTTTATTATGAAAATTGTACTTTCCATTTTGTAGGTCAAAGATCTCATACACCCCCCCCACATGATGTCATTTCAGAAATATCACACCACAGTGTATCAGACACTTTACATATATTATCTTTCTGGATCATCACAGAATTCTCATGATAGGGTTATGGTATCGGTGTGCAGATCAGGAAAGTGGGCTCGGAAATTTGTGTGAGTTCTCAGCATTATTGAACCTGACAGCCAGGATTCTAGTCAGTTCTCCTGGCTCCAAGTCTCTCTCTCTCTCTCTCTCTCTCTCTCTCTCTCTGTTTCTCTGAGACAGGGTCTCACTGTGTAGTTCAGACTGGCCTTGAACTTACTATGTAGCTCAGGCTGACCTCAAACTCACTGTGATCCTCCAGCCTCAGCCTCCCAAGTGCTAGGATTACAGGTGTGCACCACCATACATGGCCCTTTTGGTTGTTTCTTAAAAGACTTCTCTGTTCTCTCCTGGTCCCTCCTCCCTTTTCTTTCTGTATGTCACTTCAGTTTTGCATAAAGTGGGTCATCTGTCCTATGTAAATTAGCTCACATTCTCGTTTGTTGATGACATCCTTGTGGTATTGTGCGTGCCTTTCTCTGTTCCTCATATTTCCTGTGCTTGAGACTTGCTTTGGGTTCGTGGTCAATGCTTTTCTCAAGAACACTTTCATGGTCCGTGCAGCACAGCCCAAGTGTGGCCCAGCTTCCTGCCTGAGGGTGCAGTTGGTGACTGCTCCATGGGAATGCTGACTTTCTGTTGTGAAGGCTGGGCATCTTTCTGAGGTGCATCCGCAGCACTCTCAGTGCAGCTTTCTGGATAAGCTGACTTTCCACTGGGGAACTGTGAGATGGTGAACAGTCCTGTTGTTCTTTAAGGCCATTCACTGTGAACACTGTAATTATATCCAGGTAGTGGTGACCTCTGCATCTGTAAAGCAGTCAGAAGCTTCAACTGTTATTTAGTGATTTGTCTACTTTCAACATTATTATAATTCCTTTTTTGTTTTTTTGACACAGGGTCACATTATGTAGTTCAGGCTGGCTTCAAACTTGCAGAGATTCTCCAGCCTCAGGCTCCCGAGTGCTGGGATTACAGGTGTGCACCACCATGCCCGGCTAACATCATTTTAATTTTTTTTCCATACCAGGGATTGAACTCAGGACTTGTGCTTGCCAGGCAGGTGCGGGGCCACTGAGCTATATCCCTGGCCCACATCATTTTAATTCTTTAAAAGATAAACACTTAAAAGGCACAAGTGATCCAAGGGGTACAAGAGGGTCAGAAGAGTATCCCCTGTCCCCAAGAGGTTTTTAGTCTCCAGGTACTGAATTCCTGATGATGTGGTGTCAGGCATGAAGTATTGTCAGATCCTTGAACCACATATTTTCTGGATGGGGAAATAGACAGAGTGGGGCTTGTTTTATTTTATTTTGGTTTTGGTTGTTTGGTTGTCTTTTGTTGTTGTGTTTTGAGACAGGGTCTTGCTATGTAGTCTAGGCTGGCCTGGAACTTACTATGTGGCTCAAGCTGGCTTTGAACTCACTGTGCTCCTCCTGCTTCAGCCTCCCAGGAATGTTGGGATTACAGGTGTGTACCAGCATGTCCAGCTCTGCATTTTGGTCTTTTTGAGATATAGTCTCACTATGGTGCCCAGGCTGCTTTGAACTCCTGATCAAGTGATCTTCCTGCCTCAGCTTCCCAAGGACCTGGGACCATATGTATGTACCACCACATCCAGCTGTTTGCTTTTGAAGCAAACATCACAACTCATGGCTGATAATCTTTCAGAAGTACTTTTTTCTGAATTGTAAATGTATTTGTATGAAAGTTTGTACAAAGTGGTAAAAATTAATTTCACATTGAATGAATTGCTTCTGATAAAAATAATAAAATTATACAAAAAGAAAATATGAAACTTAGCCAAAAACAGTAAATTGGTATGTACAGTTTGTGAAAATGGGCATGAGGCACTTGCTACACACAGGGCAAGTGTGTAGAAAGATAAGGTTTCTGTCCTCAGGGAGCTTTCATTCCTGTGCAGAAGAAGAAATGATACTCAGGTAAATAGAAATGTGTCACACCAGCCAGCAGCATGTTCTGTGAGTGAACCAGAAGTAAGGTTAGGGGTAGAGTGGAGGCAAACGCAGAGCAGGCCTCACGGGCAGGGTCATGGTTGAGCAGTGACCTGAAGGGCAGGAGAGAATGAGATGTGGTAAACCTCACAAGAACCACATTCTAGGCAAAGGGGACAAGTGTAAGGCCTGGGGCAGGGTGGCTGTGGGGCTTCTAGGATGGAAGGAAGCCAGCATGGCTGAATATAATGATCAGAGGGAGACAGGGAGAAGAGCAGATAGAGAAAGTCAGCAGGTACCAGATGTCATATAAATCTGGGCTTTCTGAAGGCCACAGGTAACAACTGGGAAATACAGAACAGCAGAAACTCTTGACATTAAAAATAAACATAGAGAGGGCCAGGGATTTAGCTCAGTGGTTCCACTGCCTGCCTTGCAAACACAAGGACCTGAGTTCGATCCCCAGTACCAAAAAATAAATAAATAAATAAACAAACAAACAAACATACAGAGACTGAGGGTCCTAGCAATGCATGAGGCCTGCCACCTCAAAATATAAAACAAAAGCTGCCCCACAAGCGCAAGTACCTGAGTTCGATCCCTAGTACAAAAAAAAAATTTAAAGGGGGGTATGATGACTCATGCCTGTAATCCCAGCACTTGGGAGGCTGAAGCAGGAGGATGGCAGATTCAAGCTCAGCTTGAGCAACTTAGGGAGACCTTGTCTCAGAGTGAAAAATAAAAAAACAAAGGGCTGGGATGTAGCTTGGTGCAGAGGCCCTGGGTTCAATCCCCACCACTAAAACAAAAAAATAACTGAAATTATGCTTGGAGATAACAACTGTTATTTTTGGCAACCTGACTTCTGGTTCTTATTTTATGTATGTACACAGATACATAGCTCATATTATTTATATACAATATTTATACTCAAATATATATTTATATTTTATATTATTCATAGTATAGAATTTCATCAGGTTTTTGCATTTTACATGAAATAGAGTATGTAATATATAAAGTATATTGAAATATGTATGTATGGGCCAGGTATTTAGCTCAATGGTTCCAGTGCCTGCCTCGCAAGCGCAAGGTCCCAAGTTCAATCCCTGGTACACCCCCCCAAAAAATGTATATATGTTAATAGAATTAATACATGTAACTAAAATTATATGTTTGATAATATAATTAAAAGGTATATATGGTACTATTTAAAGTTTACATGATATTATATATGACAAATATGTTGTATAAAAGTGTATTAATGTTATATTATTTACACAAATTATACTTACGAAGACAAATAGAAAACATATAAATTATGGTAACATGATGATATGATTAATTCAGTGTAACTATGTTAATAGTTATATAATTATATATTAATTTTCTTATATTTAATCAATGTGTTTCATACAATGTATTTGGAATATATATAAACATATACATGATACCATACTGCACATGAAATATATATTATATATAATATATTTATGCCAAGGATACTTATATATTTGTATAAAAACATAATTATTATTTATATCATATCTTCTGTTGTATAGTTTTTAGAATTCTGCTTCTTATGTAGTACAAAATACTATACAGTAGGGCCGGGGATTTAGCTCAGTGGTTTCGCCACCTGCTACACAAGCACAAGAACCTGAGTTTGATCCCTGGTACCAAAAAAATAATAATAATAAAATAAAATAAAATAGAGTTAAAAAAATACTATACAGTATACATTTTACATATTTATAATTAGATAACTATACATTTATAAAGAATAATAAATCATAATGTATAATTATATATATTTGGAGGTAATGGGAATTGGACCCAGAGCATCATCACATATGCTATCTACCAGTGAGTACAATTCCAGTCCTTTTTAATATTTCATTTTGAATGCCAGGTCTCGTGGTGCACACATGTAATCCCAACACTTAGGAGGCTGAGGCAGGAGGATTGCTATGACTTCATGGCCAGCCTGGGCTACATAGTGAGACTCTGTCTCAAAAAAACAAAAAACAAATCAACCCCTCCCCTTCAAAAAAAAAATCCATAAAATTTTCTTTTGCAACAGATTTTCATTGAGTTGCCCAGGCTGATCTCGAACCTATGGTCCTCATGTCTTAGCCTCCTGAATAGTAGAGATTACAGGTGTATATACCTGTGCACAGCTATGATTATATATTTAAAATTAGCTTTTGTGGTGCTAGGGATTGAACTCAGCCAGGGCCTCTCAGATCCTATGCAAGCACTTTACCAATGAGCTGCATATACACCCAGTTGTGGAAGCCTACATTTTAGAGTTTTGTATTCTAAGAAATTATCCATTTCCGTTTCCATATAATTCTTTTTTTTTGCTTCCCAAGTTTTATTCAAGAACTCATACAAAATATTCCAGATAAGAAAGTTTTAATCCTCATCTTATCTTCTTTGTTCTGGTTAATTTATTAGTAATGTTATTTGTAACTCTCTTTGCATTTAGCAGCTGTGTGGAACCAGTTGTGTAAATTAGTCATCAGATACTTCTTGAGAGTGGGCTGGGAATGTAGCTCAGTGACAAGGCACATGCAGGGCCCTGGTTTCCATCCTCAGACCTGGAAAAGAAAAAAAAAGGCATCTCTGAAGAGACTGAGACCTTGCTCTTATTACTTTTGATGTTTACAACCCCCTCCCCCAAGATTCCTAGCTTTTCTGTTTGCATTGATTTTTCTCTTGGAGAAACTGCTTGAGATCAGCAGCATCCATCATTCCATCTTTTGCAGGGTGGGTACAGTCAGAGTGAATTTGAGAACCTCCTGTTTCTTTTTGCCTTCCTTTGCTATAAGCTTTTTCATGTGTGTCATGGCACCAACAGAGGAGGAAAGGGCCCATGTAATTGCTAATAAGATGAAATTATTAATGTAAGTAAATTATTAATGCAAGTGCTCAGTTTGTAGTACATGATAGTTATTACCAGTACTATTTATCACCAGTAGGTAATTGTATGTTTCTTCTGTATTAGGCGTCATACTTTGTGCTTTAGCTACTGTGTTAGTTTCTTTTCTCATTGCTAAGATTAAATACCCAACACCCAAAGGTAAAAGGTTTATTTAGCTCACAGTTTGTAGAGGCTTTAGTCCATAATCAGCTGGCTCCAAGGCAGGGTGGCACATGGCAGAGAGCAACAGCTCACTGTGGACTGAAGGTAGCAAAGCAACAAGGGAGAAGACAAGTCTCTTTCTTTTCCTTATATTGTATCCAGGCTTCCAGGATTAGGATGGTACCAGACCAATCAGTGTACTGATTTAGTAATCACACATCCTTAATCCCAACATCACACACTCTAGATTCAGCCACTTATGACCACATGAGACTTTGGGGGGGATATCTAGGCACAAACCATAACAGATACATTATTTTGTTAATGTTTCTGTCCTAGGAGAGGTGTTTTCATGATTGCAATTTTCCTTATGAACAGCAGAGGTCTGTGGTTGTGGTATAAGTGTACTGTGGACTGCATATAGGGAATTGAGTGATGTTAAACTTCCTAGTTTTGTACTTGTTTCAGAGACCCTTGCATTTAAGCTTTAAATGTTCAGTTTGCTTTTTGAGAAGCTGTTGGGCTCCAGGGCAGTCCTGGAGGTGGGTGGGGAAGGCATGGTGGCTGCTACACTGCACAGCTCACAGGAGGCCTTTCCATTCTTCCTTCCACAGAAGGATTTACTCCTCAGTGAAATTACAAGCTCCAGGAAGACTGGGGTGGAGAAGGTGTTGGCAAAGGAGATCTGCCAGAAGTACCTGGAGAAGAGAGCCTGGTCGCTGCCAGAGCACTGTGCTGAGGCCTTAGCCACAGCTGTCTGCCTCTGTCTGCAGAGGCGCAACACTGGCTTGCAGGAGGTGAGCCTCACTAACAGAAACCTCACTTCCTGGGGACTGTCTGGATCTGCCTTACTGGAGACAGGTTTGCAGAGACAGGATTTCATATACCAGGACTGGATTTGGTTGCAAGCAGCTAAACCTACCAGCAAAAAGGGGCAGTGTATGGATAATGGGGAACCTGAGGGCAGAAGTGTTCTGGGCCCTAGGGTAGGCAGGATCAGATCCTCTAATGCTTAAAGAGTTCTGCTTGCTTTCTGAATCTGCTGTATCCCTCTTCTCTCTGTAAGTTCCTTTTCTTTTTCCAATTAAGATCTTAAAATTATGAAAAAGAAAAACCCATTATTCATTGGGTGTAAAATATGTAAATTTGTACACTAAATTTTTTTACAAGGCACTGAAGAAATGTGATATTGTTATTAGAGGTATGTATGCCAGCACTTGAGGAGGCTGAGGCAGGAGTGCAGGCTGGAGCCCAGCCCAGGCAGTTTGGCCACTTAGCAAAATCCAAAATAAAAAATAAAAAATAAGAAAGGGCCAGGGATATACCTCAGTGTGAAAGCTCTGCATTAAGTCCCTAATACTGGGGGGGAAAAGTAAAAAGAACCTATATATATGCCTTTTGTGTGCAGTGGACCCTCGAGTTACGACAGGCCTGACATAGGAACAACTTGAGTTATGACTGGAATTTTGGTTTTAACTTATGACCAAATTCTTGAGTGCCGGCGGCTTGTGCTTCCAGATGGTCTCAGATACAGATTTAATCCTTAAAGAGTTCTGGAAGGAACATTACAACATCCTTTCCTGTGTGGGCTTAATTGAGAAATCCTGGGCCAATGTCTAAGGACACTGAGATCTGCCTGTATACTGGAGAGAGACTTAGAAGACTGTGTAGAGGAGTCTGAGCCTTCAGTTGATCAACTTGAGTTACAACCAGCCCTCCGGAACAAACTGAGTAGTGAGTCAAGGGTCCATTCTATGTGTAAAGTAGAAACATGTGTTTCCTGCTTGCCTTTGATTTTTCTAATCTTGCTAACCAGAAAGGCTCTCAAGGGCAATGTCTTTATTACTCGTTCATTTCTCACTGAAAGTGTTAAAAATTCAAACTCTCAAAAAGAAACACAGATATATAGAGAAGGAGAGATAATATTGTTATGGATGAGCGAGTTCAAACAATAGAGATGTGCCACACCCTTTGCCATTTTGAGCCTGTTTATTACAGCCTGTGGCTGAGGGGCTAATGCCCAGAAGTGTCCTCAGCAATGGGAAGCAGTTTGATTTCTCCTTTTAAATCATGCTTTCAGTTGGGGAGGGCTCGGGGGAAAGCAAGCAGAATCTTACAGCAGAACCATGCCAGGTTAGTGGGGGGCGGGGCGGGTAGGAGGAAGTTTCACACACACTAGGTGAGCTACAAAACATCCTGCAACTGCAGCAAGTTTACTGCCAAGCAGGATGTGGGGGTTTTGGGTGCTTTGTTCAAGCCCAAGCACTTTGTTCAAGCACAGGTACAAAATGGTTTGAGGCACAAGATGGAGTCGGGTTGGCTATCACTGAATGAATGAATGAATGAATGAATGAAGTGGCTCATTTAACCAGACATTAGAGGACCAGCCTTGCCCTGCTTTCAGAACACTTAGACCCAGAGTCTCAACATCGAAAGTGTTATCTGTGTCTGTCTCTCTATCGCTTTCCTCTTTGTTGAAGTTCCATTTCTCCTCCTGTAAAGGGATATCTAGGGTTTACAAAGCCTGCGCCACTGGAAAGCTGTCTTTATTGATCTGGGTGGGAAAATCCCAAGGGAGGATTCTGATTGGCCAATTTGGTCATGTGCCCCACCCGAACCAATCACTGTGGTGGGATGGATGGGGGTGGTCCAGTGAGTGGCCCATCTTGGCTGCGGGGCGAGGGCGGGGCGGAAGTCGGAAGCCGGCAGTGGGCTTTTCAAATCGCTTTTTTTCTCCCCAAGGCGCTGGGCTCCGTGGCTGCTGTGGAGGAGTGGCTCCGAGGGCGGGGTCCCCTGCTGCCTTGGAGCGGGCTCTCTGCAGGAACATGCTCTTCCGCCAACACACCGGAGGAGTCTGATGTTGTGGACCACGCCGGCCTAGACGCGGCGAGCTCCGGGAGGGCGGTGCGCGGTGCGGCTGCGGAGGCCGAAGCTGGAGGGCTGCAGGCGGACTCCTCTGGGGCCCAGAGCGGTAAGCGCAGCCGCCGTCATTCCGTCCTTCCTTGTTGATTCCTTTAAGGATTCCCCAAGCACGAGGAGAACCCACAGGCCTCCTTG